ATATTTGTTTACAAACATATTCATGTTTTGGGTTTTCTTCATTATGTTTTATACTGATATTTATTTGTATTATGATAATAGTATTGTTTATTTGTATTGAAAATAATGGTAAAATACTTATGACAATGAAAATGAATGAAAGGATGAGTGAAATAAATCATATTATTAATGATGTGATAATTATGGTTATAATTGTTATGATGATAGATACTATTATGGTAAAGTTTAATGAGATGATTAATGTATTTCTGACGAGACAGATACTATTTATTTCATTTAATCTTCTAGCATTTATATTCTTTAGTTGAATAATATGAATTTCTCTTTCTTTTGTTATGGTTTTTAAATCTATTGTTGTGTTTTTTTTAAAGCAACACTTATTTTTATTATTAATGAAATAAAAATATCAATAAAAATGAATAGGAATAACAAACTAAAAAGACAAAGGATATTCTTAAAATTGAAAAAAATAAATCAAACCCTAAAAATAAAAATAGAATGAAAATAAGAAGAAAACAACAATCTACCCTGAAAATAAAACCCTCCAAGGATTTAAATAGGATCTAATCAAACAAGAAAATCATAAAAGTAAATAATATGGCTAAGGTTCTTGGTATTGGAAATGCTCTTCTTGACCTTTTAATGACTGTTCCAGATGATGTACTTAATGAATTAGAATTAGCTAAAGGATCAATGGAAATGATTACTGAAGAAAAAAATAAAAGAATTTTAGAAGTTACTAAACAATATCCAAAAATGGTAGTATCTGGTGGTTCTGCTTCTAATTGTATTCATGCTATTGCTCATCTTGGTGGAGATTGTACATTCCAAGGAAAAATTGGTAAAGATGCTAATGGTGAAGCTTTTTCAGAAGATTGTAAAAAATCAGGAATTACACCAAAATTAACAGTAACTGATTTAGCTACTGGTTGTGCTAATACATTTGTTACTGCTGATGGAGAAAGAACATTTGGTACATTCCTTGGAGCAGCATGTACTCTTGGAGTAGATGATATTAAAAGTGATATTATGAAAGGAATGAAATTACTTCATACAGAAGGATATTTAATATTTAATACTGATATGTTTAGAAAAATGATGCAAACTGCTAAAGCAGAAGGTGTTACTATTTCTCTTGATGCTGGTTCTTTTAATATTATTAACGATTTTAAATCTTTCTTTGATGAACTTCTTAAAGATTATGTAGATATTATTTTCTGTAATGAAGAAGAGTCAGAAGCATTAACTGGTCTTTCTGATCCTTATCAAGCCATTGATGCTTTAGCTAAACTTGTAAAAGTTCCAGTTGTTAAACTTGGTAAAAATGGTTCACTTGTTAAAGTTGATGGAAAAACTGTTAAAGTTGATATCTTTAAGGCTGATAAAATTGTTGATACTACAGGTGCTGGTGATTCATATGCTGGTACATTCCTTGCAGGTTGGTTAAGAGGAATTCCAGAAGATAAATGTGCTAAAGCAGCATCATTTATTTCATCTAAAGTTATTCAAAAGATGGGTGCAAAATTAACAGAAGAACAATGGGCTGAATATAAAGTTGAAGTTGAAAAGATTTTTGCATAAAATAGTTATTACTTTTAAATAATAATTTAATTATTTTAGTATTATTTTTTTATTAAAATAAATAATAAATTATGTATTTTTATTAATTTATTTATTTATTTTTTAAAATAAAAAAATGTTTTAAAAAGTAAAGAACTTAATATTTTAATTAATGGAACAACCAGTTATTCAAATTGATACTAAAGAATCTAAACCATTATTTAAATTATCTAATTATAGAATGACTGTTCATGCTTTATTACTTACATTTATTAGTTGTATTTATGGAGGTGTACCTACTATCGTATTATTAGTCATTGGTGGAATTATGATTTATGACAATATTAACAAAAATGCTTTTTCTATTAAAGCCTCAATACCATTTATTGTATTAACAGGGTTTTTCTTTTTATCGTTAATAGTTAATTTTATTAGTACTATGGATATTAGTATAAATACATTATTAATATTCTTTACATTAATGATGTATGTTGTGTTATATCTTGTATGTATAATGTTTAATTTTAATTTAGTTAAGGAATTTAATTTTATTGATAAAAAAGATATTAAAATTATTTTAAATATTATGTCTTCTACTTTAGGATTTATCTCTGTTCCAGTTACAAGTTATGCTATTACTCATTTTATTCCTTCATTAGAACTTTATGTTCCATTACTTTTTGTTTTTGTTCATTTAATTACATCACCAAATGGAGATGATCCAATTTTAATTTCATTCTCAGCAATTATTACTCTTATTGCATCTGTATTTTCCTTTTTAGAATTAGGTCAGTTATATATTATTATGTTACCAATGTCAATGTATCTTCTTATATTAACTCCTCATTTACGTTTCTTAGCTTTAGCCTCAGCACCAATGTTTGTAGCAAGTTGTACAATGTTATTATCAGATAATATGCTCTATTTTACTTTAGTTGGAATTATTACAGTAATTTTTGTTTTAACAACATTAAAACGACCTAATATAATAGAGTGTACTGTTTTATGTGTATTAATATCATTACTTTCCTTTTTAGTATTATCATCTTCAAAATTAAATACTATAACTTTGGTTATAATGTCATTAGGAATTGGTTTAATTGCATTTAGAATTAGATTTAATTTTGATCTAATTGTTTTTATTTCTATTGGCTCTGCAGTTGTTACTCTCTTTATGTATCTTCATACTTCATTCCATCATATTTATTTCCATATTACTAGATTTATAATTTTTAATATAAACCTTCATGATTTTACTATTATTTATGCAATATTTGCAACATTCACTTTATTACTACCTTATTTAATGGTAAAAACAAATAGAACAATATTTAGTGTTCTTGCAACTATTTATTCTTTTGGGTTAGCTACAATTGAATATATTGTTGCATCAAGAAGAAATGGTATTTTCTATAATGATACTTATTGTGTTTTTACAGGTGTAATGCTTTGTTTAATTGGTTATTTAATGTATAAAACAAAAAAGATTTATTTAACTTCATTTGCTATAATAATTTCATTTCAAATAGCAAAATTATCAATGTTTATTTTCCCAAGATATTTGTCTATCTTTTCTATTGCTGTTTATCTGTCAACTATTATCATTAGACAGTCTTATCACCCAGATGTAGCTATTGACACTATTTATTTCCTTGTAAATCAAATATGGAATGCATTAACTTCTTTAACTGTTTCTGCAACATTTATTTCAACTCTTCATGTTATTTATTTCAACGAAGTACCTACTTATGTTCAAACATTATTAGAAGCATTTTTATTAATGTGTATTCTTGCTACACATGAGTGTTATGTTTTAAAAAATAATTATTTTGTTATTCCATTTACTGGACTCTTTGGAAGTGCTCTTGGTGTTCTTCTTTCTCTTGGTGCAGACTCTTCTCTTGACCAATTAATAATATTCTTTATTGTAGGAATTTTAATATTTACTTCAACTAATTATACTTATAGTATTGCTCATAATTTCCTTACCAGATTAGTGTTTATTGTTTCTCTCTCATTTTTGTTTGCTCATTATATGTTTGGTTATTTGCCTATTGTACCTTCTTGGTTCTTTATTTTATTATTAGTCCCATCATGTTGTGGTGTTGCTATTACAATGGAAACTATCTTTATAAATCAAAAAACTATTACATTGTTATTACCATTATATTCTATATTATGTATTTCTCTTCCATTATCATTTGCTGGTGCAGTAATAACTACTCTTAACCTGGTTCAATTAAGGTCTATTGCAAGTGTAGTTTTTAGTTTACATTTCACATTACATGTAGCTGTTTTAATTGCCAATAATATATCTCAAAAACAAATGATTAAGAAATATTCATACAATACAATGATGACAATTATTAGTGGTCCATGGTCAATTATTATGGGTATTTTCCTTCACTATTTTGTCTTAAATGGATCATCAATTTCAGTTCTTATTTTTGTTCCTATCTTAGAATTAATTATTGTTGAAAAGTTCGTTAAGTTAGAAGAAAGAAAACGTAGTGGGTTAGTATTGTTTTCAATTATTATTATTTTACCAATATTAACTCTTTCAAGTATATTAAAATATGGATTTAATATTTATGTATTAACAACATATATCTTTATTATTATATGGAACGTTTTTGTTATTTATTTCGCTCTATTCCTTTTCACTAAAAAGGAGATTTTCCAATTCCCTATTTTCCTTATTATAACTCAATTTGTTGTTTCTATACTAATCCTCTGCTTTACAACAAATGACTTGATGTTTACACAATGTGTTCTTGTCGTTTTTATTGCTCCAATTGCTATTTACATGCAATTAACTAATAAAGCAGAACAGAAAGATTCATTAGTTCTTTGAAAAGGAAAAAATACTTAAAATTTAATCAAATTTCTTCTTAACACTATTATTTTTCTTTTGAATGAAATAATTAATTAAAATAACAAATTGTTACTGTAATATTATCAAATGACTGCCTTTTTAATGCTATGTCAATAAGATATCGTGAAACATCCCCTTTATTTCTTGGAAGGACAATTCCATTTGAGTCTTTATCCTCTTCTTTAGAAAAAGAATAATTGAATAAATAATTTCTGGCTAGGTTGATAGCATCTTCATATTTAAATACATTCCAAAAACCATCACACGCAACAATTATGAATTGAAATGATGAATCAATTGCCTTACTCCATATCTTTGGTTGGCAAATAACATATTTTTTCATTGATTCATCACCAATACTTCTTGAAACACCAAGTAAACCATCTACCCTCCACCCATGATTATAAAATACTTTACCACCAGCACTTTCTATTCTAGCCTTTTCTTTATCAACACTTGGGTTATGTTTTTCTGATGTAACAACATATGACCCATCATTATAACAAACAACAATCTCTGAATCTCCAACATTGGCAGTATAGATTATATTATCATAAATCATCACTATAGCTAATGTTGTCCCTGCATTAACTTTTGTTTTCATTGCAATTTCTTTAAATCCATTTTCAACATTGATAATGCCATCTTGAATAGCATTTTCTATATTTTTTGGAAATGATTTGCTTCTCACAATTTCATTATATAATTTAAAATTACAGTAGTCAGCAGCTGACGTTCCAACGTGTCCATCAAAAACTCCAAAATATGTTAATTCCTTCTTTTCTTTTTGAATCATTTTGTTCATATTTTTAATACAAAGGTAGTAATCTTCCATTCGTGTTTTCATTCCTGAAGTAGAATAAACAGAAAACTCAATTTTACTTTTATATTCTTTTATTTCCTTTTGAGTTCGTTTCAATAAATAATTTTCAATAACATGGTCAACTATTTTAACATCAATACATTCTTTTTCATTATATTTTTTCATTAAGTCTTTAATTTCTTTTAAATCTTTCATTTTCTTTAATTCTTTTTTAAACCCCGAAGGTACCACAAAATTATTTTCATCTTTAATTTTACAATAATACTTATAATTAATTCTATCATCAATATCAATTTTTCTTATTGCATCTAGTCCAATAACATCTTCAGAAGTTTTTTGTATAACACATTGAAATCGTTTCATTCTCTCCTCTCTTCCAATTTTTCTTAAACTATCATTACTTTTGTTTCTTGTAACTATTTGATCAGAATGTTTCATAACTCTTAATGCCTCAGGAATGAAAGCTCTTATTCCTGGTACAATAAGTCCTGGATCTGATGCTCTTTTAGCTATTCGTTCACTCATAAGACTTTCTCTAATCAAAGTTTTTGCATTGAGATTTGTTGGTTGAATAGACCAGTGTTTGAGTTGATAAAATAGATATAAAATGGAATTATTAATTTGAATAAAACTTCTATGAGAAAGATGTTTATTGTGAGAAACAGTAATTGTTCTCAGTTCTGTTGTTGGAGCTAAAAAGAAAATAGCCCTTCTAATAAATGGCATTAGCATAGTACTTGGCATGAACGATACAAGACTACTACGAGTAATAACTGGTATGGAATTCTTCCAACTAACCTGTTCTAAGACTTGTTGAATTGTTTCAAGTAACATAGGTTTATGAATAATTTCAATGTTAACACACTCTAATAGATTGATATAGTTCATAGAATTTTGTTGGTCTAATAAAGCGTCTGGAAAGTAAATAAGATTACAGCCGTCTAAAACTAAATCTGCAAGTTCTTTTGTCAGCTTCTGTTTGTCTGTAAAATATAAAACGTTTGTGTTTGGTTCTTTTTTTCTTGCTGCACGAATTTGGGTTATACTCTCTTCTCTTTTGATATTATTTTCTTTTATATTATCTTGTACCATTTGTTCTAAAAGGGGATGATACCCTTCAATCACAAAATCATATTCTTCGTGCTTAATTATTAAAGTTAAATCACATCCTTTCATTTTATCTTTAATTACTGCAACAATTTCTTTGATTTTTTCTTTATTTTCAAGTTCTATTAAAATAAGACAAGAACCTTTATCCTCTTTTTTGATATCATCTTTAAATATACTTATATAACCAGAATAGTATTTGCTTTTATCATTAAC